TGCTTGAGCACCACTTGGGGTCTATCTGTGCAAATGCCTATTTTCTTGTTAAATATTAGATTTCACATGAAATTGTATAATTTTATTCATATAATTGATAGCACAATTCATACTTTTTACTAAATAATTGTTTTTTTCACATTGAATGTAGACCTATGTGTTTTGTATTTTTTAATATAATATGTTAACTTACAGCTGATCGAGTTTACTGTAGAGTTTTTACATTCTTTTTAAGTGTTACAAGCTATTCTTTATAAAAGTTAAGACTCATCCATGCCTTCCTAAAACGCCTCGTTCAAACACGCCCCCACATCTCTAGGTCACTGAGATTTGCATAACGCTGCCCAAATGTTCACACAAAGAAAGAAGGCGTAACTTTATTGTTGCTGCCACCGCCGCCGCCATGTTGAGAAGTCACTGTGTGTTTCGTTGCGAAAGCGAAAATACTTTGTTTGGCCTTCCAAAAGAGGACGTGACTAGAAACCAGTGGTTAAGTTGAATTTACAACATTGTTCCAGAACAGTTCAAACCAAATATTCAGATGTGTGCAGCGCATTTTATGGAGGACTGTTTCCTGATCCTGGGAGAGTAGACTACAATGCCGGCTGTTCTGACTCACGGACTGTAAGTACGTTTTCATATTTAAAGGATTTGCCACTGATGATTCAAACGTGAATTTTGAGCAGTGTAGAGTAGCGCTTGTTGTTTGTAATTTCTCAGATCACAAATGTAGACATGGTTTTAAGCCGTAGCCTGACATGCACCTCTCCAAAAATCTAACAGCGCCTCAATTCTATGCGGACCGCAAGCGCTGTGATTGGTCTGATAGAACCCCTCCCTCCGTATGTACTTGAGTTTTGTGTGTGTTTATGTACATTTTAATATATTTTAATGTTACACCTTCTTATATAAAATAAAACAAAGCAAAGAACAAGTGTCTTATCATTTATTATGCTTGCTATAAGATATGACCCCTTTAAGATTAAATCAGTTTAATGATAATATAAAACTAGAGGTTTTAATCAAAAACTTAATGACAGTGGCATTTTGTTTTGGAAATGTACCTCAGGAATTATGGGAGTGACTCTTTCTTCCCCTCTCTCCTCAGTCTCAGATGGATGGACGTGGAGTTCATGAAGATGCTACATGAGAAGGTCAACATAGTGCCTGTGCTGGCCAAAGCAGATAGTCTCACTCCATTGGAAGTCAGAAAAATGAAAATGAAGGTGTGTATGCAGTGTATAAAAAGTATATATATATATATATATATATATATAATATCACAGTCGTCATGGGTTTGTTTTTTCTCTCTAGATTCGTGAGGAGATTAAGAGATTCTACATCAACATCTACCAGTTTCCTGAATGTGATTCAGATGAAGATGAGGAGTTCAAACTTCAACACCAGGAATGGAAGGTGACCTGCCCTGCTCTATATTTACATCAAACGTACCATAACACCGACTAAACTGACATGTGGATTTCCTTCTTTGTTACAGGACAGCATTCCCTTTGCAGTAATTGGCAGTAATGTCAAAGTTGAAAGCGAAGGCAGGCGCTTCAGAGGCCGTCAGTACCCCTGGGGTGTGGTGGAAGGTACTTAGACTCTATCGTAGACGATTATGTACTATTGTACATAATCTTTTATTTGTACACAGGCGATGAATTAAGTGTCCCTGCAAAAACAGTAACAATCTGTACTGTATGCTCTTACTGGATACATACAGTCCACTCATGTAAAGCGATATGTACTAAATAGCAAATCTCAACTGATTGATTGTAATATTGGTGAAAAGTGTCAACTATATTATCAGCCAGTGATATATTAGAAGTTGGATATATAGTATGTCCTGCTTCACCTGCAAACATCCAGGATGCACATGTAAAGCAATATTTTATATAGCAAACCTCAGTTATGATTATGTAAAATGCAAAATGTAAACTGTATTATCTTTTTTTACTTTATCTGCATACATTACATTCATGTTTTTTTATTTGCAACAAAAATGTAGCTTAGTTATCGTTGGATATATAGGGAGCTGGATATAAAGTTCCATATATAGGTACGTCCCACTTTATCAGCATACATACTCTACAGTAGTGATGAGAGAAACAAAGCTTTTCAAATCTTTGAATCAACTGAACCAATTGCTTTGCAAAATGATTCACTATTTCGAAGTGTTCGAAACACCACACTGGTGACACCTGCTGGTCAAAACTGTGTAAATGCAACAAAAACTCAAGCCAAACATAAAAATAGCTTTTACAAACCCATTGCAAGTGTTTTATTGAAAGCAAAGCAAATTAACTAACCACCCATTAAATTACCATTAAATATTAAGTGTCTGTATGTGTTCTTTTATCCATTTTCAGGGCTTGTTTTGGTTATTCAATGAATGACACACAGCTAAACGGGCCAATAAGTGATTATTAACTATACTATTATTCCTTTTAATTATTTAAATGCCTCATTAAAACGTCTACAAATTTATAAAAACTGATCTGAAATCAGGTAAATATTACCATTGACGCTAGTTCAATGGTTTGCCGCTATGGGGCAATCTCAGTGATCTTGTACGATTCATGGGTTCACAGAGCTCACCTCTAGCAGTGAATCACTGAAATGTCGAAACATTTCCGTTTAGTGTTTTGTTTAAGTGTCTTGTTTACTGAAATCACGTGACTGGTAGTATGATATGTGTAAAATATGAGTAGTATGATATGATTCAAAACAAAAAATTCATAAAGGTTTCAAAGATTCATGAAGCAGTGTTTTGAAAGTACCCATCACTACTGTACAGCACACAAAGTAATATGTACTATATATTAAATCAAAATGTAACTATATTATTGCCCAGCCCTCTGTACAGTTTGAAAATGTATGTCCGATAGGTTTAACTCAATCTGACCTGATGCCATCATCACATGGCACAGCTGATTGGTTCTCTCCTGTATCAGTAGCCAATGAGCTCGCTGCTCAACATTCAAATATATGATTAGTGCTTGCAGTAGCAGTTGCAACTTGCTTCAGAAACCCTCCACCTTCTCCAGCTCCACCTGTATAGATCTGCTACGAGGTGATTCATGTATATCTATATGGGGGTTATTTCATGTGTTATATTTGCAGCAGCAATATTTCTTACATGCTCACAGCAGCACATTGTGGATGTGTTGGCAGTAGCAAGTCTGCAGCAGCAGCAGCGTAGCAGATCTATTCCGCCAAGACCTTTTCTTATTTTTTTGCATGTTTGTCACACTTTAATGTTTCAGATCATCAAACAAATTTAAATATTAGTAAAAGATAACACAAGTGAACACAACATGCAGTTTTTAAATGAAGGTTTTTATTATTAAGGGAAAACAAACACCACTGTATATAGCATATCTCAACTGCTTAATTGCTTGTATCGTTGCTATTATGAACATGATTTTCTGTAAAGCTGTTTTGAAGCCATGTGTATTGTGTATAGAACTATTCAAATAAATGAGTCGACTCTTGCAGTGGAGAACCCTGCTCGCTCCGACTTCCTGAAGCTGAGGAACACATGCAAGACCTGAAGGATGTGACACGGGAAACTCATTACGAGAATTGCCGCACTCAGTGCATCCAGAATATGACCCGCATGGTGGTCAGGGAGAGGAAACGCAGGTCAGAGGATGAACTGACATGATGATCACATCAGACTATATTCTGCAGTGCAAATGAATGGTGTGCTTATTCATGATCATGATGTTTCATCACTGACCTTCCTGTGTGGTTTATGTTACTGTTTGTTTCATCCAGTCTGTGTAACCGGCTAAGAGACAGTGCCTCTGATGCCTGTGGACAGCGAGACTGAGCGCCTTATTTGGGAGAAAGATGAAGAGGTAATACGGGTTTGTTTTTTAATTAGATCCATACAATGTCTTCATTCTCTTCAGAATGGATTCAGTGCATGTTTGGAATGGATACTAACTTACCATTCACACCATACTAACTACTATTTTTTAAAACATTAAGTGAAAGAGTAGGTATTTACCACATGGGCTTCAGAATAGCTAGAATACTACTAGGATATTACTAATGTCTGCCATATTAAAATGAGTATGTTATATATTAAGATTAGTATGTTAGCATATTTCAACAAAGCCAGTGTTTAAGTCTCTCATTTCATTAAAGTTCTCTGATAGCTGTAATTAATCTTGTGTATTTTTTTTTGTTACTTTCTCCTTCTGCAGTTGCCCCGAATGCAGTAAGTTCTGGAAAGGATTCAGGAACAGATGCATCATGGACATTAAGACAGACTAATCAATTAATTTAAATGTGTTTACAATAGAAATATGGCTTGAGATGTCAAAGGTTTAAGCTGCTGGATACTGCAGTGAATATTATCTTGTTGTTTGAAGGAATGTGTCCTAAATTAGCTGTCTGAAAAGGTATGAATGCATCTACATAAATACTTTAAATATTTTAGATTGAATGCAAATATGACTGTTGTGATACATAAGAAATACGACTAATACAACTTGACTTGTAAATGTCATAAGATTTATTATGAATCGTCAATATGTTTTTTTTTTGTAGTAATCTAGCATATTTTAATACGTTTTATTACTATTTTAGTTAAACATGGTGGACAATTCGATCTTAATGCAGCCCAAAATGTACAGGCGCTATATAACTTCAACTTTCTCCATAGGGAAAATGCACAGTTTTCATATATTCATATATAATATCAATGTAGAATGAGGTCTAACGGTCCCGCCCACATCATACAGTATGATACATGGTCCCAAAAAAATCAAATAAGGGGAGGGATTAACATTTAAACAAACAAACAAAAACTGCAATCTATATGCAAAACCAGGCATCAGTATAATCCTAAAATACATACACATATATGTGAATGCGTGCATATACCTCACATATATACATACATCCATACACATATATTTAAAAAAAAAAAGAAAAATAAAACTAATAAATTTCACAAAGGTTAGGCTATTTTTTTGTTTGTTTGCTTTTTAACTGAGTGTGAAGCACAGCATGTATCATTCCATCTTCACATCCCCAAAAAAAGAAAAAGGAAGTCAAATCCAAACCTCAATATTTTTTTTGCAGCAGAAAGAGGATGTTAAGACCAGGAATCACAGTGTTCCGTTTGAAAGTGACAGTAAAAATGCAACAACGTGGTGTACCTAACCATCGACAGCAACCCATTAAGTTTACATAAGGAAACGGTCAGATGGCTAACTTTGTGCAGGTTCAACCAAGCGAGTGCATTGAGAATGGCAGGCCGACTTTATGAGAAGCACTGCTATTGGCAAAGGGGCGTTTTGTCCTGAAACAGCATGTTTTAACCTCCTAAAATGCTTATTAACAAGCGCCTACTTCACGACAATTTACACAATCACGCGTAGTAATGAAAAATGGCTGTGCGCCGATGAACGTACAATGGACACACAACAGCACCGATTTACACTGGACGCCACCTATGAACGTGCGCGCGGCGTGACGTTAACGTAGTTTCTAAGACTTCTATCGACGTTCTTCATCGTGTTGCTACAAGCACGAGAACATTGGTAACTGCTGCTTTGAAGAAACGGAAATGCACGACTATCACACGCCGTAAGTAACGTTTTTAATCATTTGAAACGTTATTCAAGTATTACGAAGTATTATTAAGTTAAACATCTGAGCACTTGTTATAAATGCTTTAATGTACTTTCAAATACATGTCTTTCTCAGATGTTGAATTGTATATTGGTTGAGTTTCCTTACAACCCATTCGCCTCGAAACTTTTTTTAAGACTTTGATTGCCAACAGATGTCTGTGACTGTAGGTCAGGTCAATGCAGTCTAATGCGCTTGCGCTTCATATTCAGCAATGTTGTTGTTGTTGCATCGCGTAGGCAGCAGGTGGCGCCACTGGGCTTGAATTGGGGCTTAGGCACTTACATTTGCTCGCAAGTACAAAGACACTTTGAGAAACCTGATCTGAGTCTGAATGTACCTGTTTTTTTTTTAGTCAAAAGCCCCGTATGAAGAGTTTTAAAAGCCCCCAAAATATAGTTACACAGTAAACGTTTTTCTGCATGCTTTCAGTACTGACCTTTAAGCACTCGTTTTTGAATAAAGTGGAGATTTTTTTTTGGTGAATGAATGTAAAGCGCGAGATAATTTGCATACAGAAAAAAAGGACACGAGGGAAAGAATTATGAATTGATTTGTTTTAGCACTCCACTCTCACATTACTAAAGACTGACCAATGTCTTCGAATTTGCAAGTGCATTACATGAAATTCATTCCAACGCTGCATGGCAAAAGACACGCAAGCCCCTTCTACAAGCAAAAGAGGACACGTTCCGATCCTGACGAGGTCCTGGCGTGTAGGAGTGACAGTAGTGATTTTCTGAACAGGATCTAGTCATCCTTTTCGCGATTAGCTCTTCGTCTTTAGTCTCTCTTGCTCTCGCTTTGTGAGACCTCCATTCATGGAAGTCGTTCTGTGCAGCCTCTCTTTTCTTCAGGCTAGCTTTAGCGTGCTGATGGGAAAAGGAGGAACAGTTACCATAGTCACCGGATTGAGCACAGTCTGGCCCACCAGCCCGGTGTGATGGTGAGCGACCACGGCCGTTGGCTTTCCCACGATGGTGGCCTGCTGGCCTGTGACCGGCGTGCCGTTAACTTGGGCGTGAGTGTGCGGGTGGCGCGCCAACGTGTGCGTGATGTGCCCCACCATTGCCGCCTGCGAGACGGCCACCGACTGCGGGTAAATGGCGGCGGGGAGGTGGGCCACGGGATGCACGGTGATGTGTCTGATAGGCTGGCCGCCACTAGAGGGCGCAATGTGCGCCAGATGTTTATGCCCAGCTGGGATGACGTGGTTGACCGCTTGGATGACGGACGCATGGGATACGGAGGCGTGGGTGATGACTGTTGGCTGAGGAGGGGAAATGATGTGGGAAGGGGGCGCAGGGGCGATGGCTTGAGGGGTGACCACTGTGGGCTGGGGTTGATTGGGTGGAGCGGAGGTTGGTGTGGTGGGTTTGTGTTGTATGGAGATATGTGTAGGGAGAATGGAGGGTGGAGGCATGGCAGCGCGGGGCTCTGACGGCGCCGGTGCAGACGGTTTGGCCGCACAAGACGAGGGCGGGGAGGAGAGGATGTCATCATCTACATCTTGGTCGAAGTTGTCTTCACCCTCTGAAAAGAGCAGAAATGATTCATGGTAATTAGATTTTACCTTGTGTCTTAGCCCTGATACACATTACAATTAATCATATCAGGGGGAAAATTTATGTTTGATGTAATGTGAAATCAATGTAAACTTGGGAGGGAAAATGGCCTGTTTAATTGTTCACACCATGAAAAACGAAGATAAACGGATTCTGGTGCAAAAAACCTCAACATGGGGTAAAAAAAAAAAAAAAGTAAATAAATAAAATAATAATAATATCAGATCTATTTCTGGTGTAAAAAAGAATTAACTAACAACTTGTAAAAAAATAAAGTGATTAAAATAAACATTCTATTTTTTATCAAATACATTTTTAAAAAATGATTGTGAAATATTAGAATTTAAAATAATGGTTTTCTTTTTAGTATATTTTTAAATACAACTTATTTCTGTCATGGAAAAGCTATATTTTCAGCAGTAATTACTTCAGTCTTCCATGTCACATGATCATTCAGAAATAATTCTATGCTGATTTGCTGCTTAAGAAACATTTCTTATTATGAATAGTTGAATAGCTGTGCTGCTTAATATTTTTGTGGAAACTGTGATTTTAAGTGGTATATATATATGTGTGTGTGTGTTGTACCCGATGCTGTTGATGTGGAGGCCTGATCATCTTCCGGTTGGACAGTTTGTCGGAGTAGTCTGTCGATCTCCATGATGTCTATACACTGGCTCAACTCATTCTTCAGCTCTGCGAGTCTTTGCTGAGTGGCGATCTTCTCCCGTGCCAAGCGCTCCATCTCGTGCTCGTACTCCTTTTCTTTCCGTTTCAAAGTCTGCAAGAAACATGATACATAACTCTTTGTATCCTCTGCACTTTAATATGCACATGAAGCATTCACTGCGCAAACACTCAATCACACACGTTCTGGTTTCAGTATGACACATTTCTCAATCAGCCAACAAATGCGTTTCAACAATTAACATGTCTAAGCTTAAGAATACACAATGGCTGTAAAGTCTATTTCCTGTTTATATATAATAACGAATGACTACTAGTAGATATAAGAACATGAGGTCATCATAACCATATTCCAAAACCTGTAGAGGAGACTCAACTCACAATTAATTAACATAGTTGATGTTGCTAAGCTAAATGCTCATTCAAAACATTGTACACAAAAATGAATTTTATAAAAATTAAAAATAAAGTAAATCTACACATCACATGGCACGAAGCCTCTATTCATCAGCCAAATAAAAGCTCTTTGATTTTAAATGTAGTGGGTGACCACACGAGGAGGGCCATTTTGAGATCACATGACAAGCCAAATAGGCCTACTATTTGTTTTATCTCAGTATTTCAACTACTACTATCATTTTGACTGGTGGATTTATTAAATCTCGGCTCAGGGCCAACAGTGCATTTGTATGGTGGCATCAACAACTTAAAAGATTTGCTTTTGTGTGATGCTATATTCATGAAACTAGTCCTGCGTTCCAATTCACAGGCTCCCTACACAGTGTTCACTGCACCCTACTCCATGAGCATAGGATAGCAGTTGAAATTCACTTGACAAAAACTGTTCATTTAATTGCCCTGCATTTTAGAGGAGTTCGAGGTATGATACTTCTGTAAATAAATATTTATACATGACCACAGGTTTGTGTAAAATACATATCCATATAATACATCTATGTGTATTTATATAAATATGCATTTATTAATTTAATGTCATATTTTAAAGCGCTAAGCGCGATGTTTAACACTAAAAACATTATATGCCAGAGCCTTGACTCCTTTCCACTGCCTTTATTGCTTCAAGTGCTGGACTGCTGTGCAGTGACTGGTGGGTACATTTTCCTCTCCACTTCCTGTGAAGTGATGAATCAATGTTCCCCCATTCCCTTATTTCCTATGTTGTTTGCAGTGCCCTTTGAACTGAACATGTTCACTCCCCTCAGACTGGAATGTGAAGTGCAACCTGTGAAGTCCACTTTACAAGACACTTATAGTAGAATGGAACACACCTTAGGAGTCAAAATAACTCTAACGTGAACATACAGAAATAACTGAGTGCACCTTTTTAAAAGAGAGCAACAGTTTAATGTCATAAGGGAAGAGAAAAAGGGAGTGATGAAAAGAAGGAATGTGGCAGTCACACAGGCAAATGGTTTGACCCACTTTTTGTGTTAGTCGGCTGACCACGGGACATCAAACCAGGCTAATGGGAACAAAATGTTTAGACATTTAAACTCTTGAAGAGGAGCAGGTATGTCCATCCACATTCAAAAAATGTGAGTAAGAGAGAGGCTGGCCGTGTGAGAGCGGAACTGCTCGGTGACAGAATGTTTAACATGTGCTCATACAATTTTAGGAAACAAACTGTCCACGGAGCAAAGCAGTTTACACACCCCACCCCATCTGTCAAAGCCTCGCACACGTGACGGCTCTGACACACTCACATCAGCCAGTTTCCTCCTCAGTCCCTCCCTCACCTATGCTCTTGCCAAAGAAACTGTGACAACACAGAGTCCCGTAGAGTCAGAGGACTGCAGTATACATGATAACAGCACGTTTCTGAGTGCTGAAGAATAGAAAGCAGCGAGACAGTGAGCGTGCACGAAGATAGAGTGATGTGCAGAGATGGGTGTCTGGGATTATATAACACACTGATACAGTATTAAGGGAATATGAATGCGACTGGTGCAGTAGGTTGAGAGCACAGGCAGAGAGAGAGTCCGTCCTAGTGAAGCCTGATCCAGGATTAGTCAGATTGGACTGTCTGGCCCTAAAGCCCCTTCACACAGCAGGTCAACACCAATACACACACACACACACACACACACACACACACACACAGAGCAATACATACAAGCCAACACCTTCTGTTTTCTACACAGACGGTATACAACCAGCGTTATTAAAATGTATTATATTAAATCATTAAACATTTAGCAAAAACAGTGTTTTTGAACCTTTAAAGGGATACTCCACCCCAAAATGAAAATTTTGTCATTAATCACTTTCCCCCATGTCGTTCCAAACCCCTAAAAGCTTAGTTCATCTTCGGAACACAATTTAAGATATTTTGGATGAAAACCGGGAGGCTTGTGACTGTCACATTGACTGCCAAGTAAATTACACTGTCAAGGTCCAGAAAAGTATGAAAGACATCATCAGAATAGTCTATCTGCCATCAGTGGTTCAACCGTAACGTTAGGAAGCGACGAGAATACTTTTTGTACGTGAAGAAAACAAAAATAACGACTTTATTCAACAATTCATCTCCTCTGTGTCTCTCCGCATCACCATTTTATTTTCTGTGTATTTACGCTTTGATTTGAACGAAAACAGCGCATCCGTGCAGTGCGGCTGACACAGAATAGTGTACGCTGCTTGCGTTCAGCGGATATTCTCCAAAATGGCGCTACGGTGACAAAAAGTATTCTCGTCGCTTCATAACGTTACGGTTGAACCACTGATGGCAGATGGACTATTCTGACGATGTCTTTCATACTTTTCTGGACCTTGACAGTGTAATTTACTTGGCAGTCAATGGGACAGTCACAAGCCTCCCGGTGCTCATCTAGAATATCTTAAATTGTGTTCCGAAGACGAACGAAGCTTTTACGGGTTTGGAACAACATGGGGGTAAGTGATTAATGACAAAATTTTCATTTTGAGGTGGAGTATCCCTTTAATTGATTATATTAGGCTGCAGCTGAAAGTTATTTTAACATTGAAATAAAATTACACAAACACTCGCTATGCACTAAATGTAGGGATGCACAGATAGTAAAATTCTGTCTGATATTGAGAAGCCATATAAACATATACACAACACAAAAGTTTGGGTTTATATTATTTTTTTTAAGGTTTTTGGAAATAATTATCTTATGTTGTTCACCAAGGCTGCATTTATTTGTAAAAAAAAAATCAAACAGTAATATTGTGAAATGTATTATTTATAAATGTTATTATTATTTATTACTTTTTACTACTTATTACAATTAAAACTTTTCTATTATATATTAAAATAAATTAAAACAGATTTTTTTCCAGATTTTTTGATGAATAGAAAAATTCAAAAGAACAGCATTTACTACATTTACTTTAAAGGTGACATATGACAATCTGACTTTTTTTCTCCAAGTTTACGTGCTATAATCGGGCCCCCAGTGCAACCCAGAAAACGTGAAAAAGAACAAACCAGTAATTTTTATTTTGTTTGTAATTCTTTCTCTGCAAGCTTGTGAAAAAACGAGCTGCTCAAAATTTCGCTCCCCTGTGATGTAGAAAGGGGATCTTATTATAATATAAATTATATTAAGATATTATTATACGTATACCGCCCCTTAATCTGCAAGTTTCCACCCACAGGTACCACCATTGTGTTTTCGCAAGCGCCGACGGTGTACCAGTTCTAATGGCATGGCGAAAGTTCGAGCAAAGCATGCTAACTGTTCTGTCTTTGGCTGCACATACGAGCACAGAACACTGTTTAGAGTCCCAGCCTCAGAGGAGACGAGACAGCAGTGGATTTATTTACTGTATATTGTGATATAGGCCACATAGATCTATCTAATATAAACATGCGATTTCTTTCCCAGCTGTTTACCTTCACAGACATAACCAACTGTTTTTGTAACTCATGTGTGTTTTTAAACATAAACTTTGTGTATTGTATAGTTTAAGCGCAATAAGACATGAAAGAGTTAAGTGTGTGCGCTCAGAGAACCGTGTATCAGAAGTTAAAAATAATGTTATACAACACATGATTTCAATGCAATAGACACCATAATCAAAACCAAACAGATGTTTTTTAGCAGAGTATCTGAGGAACGAGCTATAAAGGCACAGTCCTATTCTGGAAAAGGGGCGGGGAACAGCAGCTCATTTGCATTTAAAGAGACATGCACAAAAACAGCCTGTTTCTGCTTCCACTCAAAATAGGCATTTTCAAAATGATATGTGGGGTATTTTGACCTGAAACTTCACAAACACATTCTGGGAACACCTGAGACTTATATTACATACTGCACTTTTACTCAATGTAATGCAACCTTGCTGAATAAGTATTCGGTTTTCTTTAAATATTTGAATATCCGATATCTACTGATAATGATTAATAAAAAAGAAAAATACGTAATGTCAGCCGATAACTGATATACTGCAAAATAGTCGGCAAAAAAATATTATGTCTCAAAAACTGCATTTTGGATTTTGTTGTAATTGTTTAATGACTGTTAATACCTTGTCAAAGATTCATATAAACATAGGGGTGTTTTTGTGACAAACAACTGAACTTAATACTGCAAGAAGAGATGCTTTAGAAGCAAAATGCACTTGAAATAAACAAGTCAAGATGACAAATCAGAATGACAACAAGACGGTGTCATCATAGTTCTTGGGAATGCGACACTTCAGCCAGTGATAAAGCAGTCATGATATTACTGAAACATCAACCCCAGCCATCAGCTCAAATCCTAATGTGTGTATAAACTAGGGCTGCACGATAAATCGCATGCGATATTTAACGCGCATCTTATCAGTAAAGCCGGTTCTGTAATCAGCGGTAAATCTCCATCACCTGCGGGCTTTCACATTGAGCAGCATTAACTACACAGAGCCGTTGTTCACTGACGAGCTGCGCTAAACCACGTTCATATTCGCGCAATTTTTTGCGCAGCTCGTCAGCCTATATGTAATCCTATGTAATTCGCCTTCTGATGATCGAAACAAGCGTGTATATTATATGTTGGTACATAGGCAATATATTAGTGTCCTGAGAATCTTATTAATTATTCATATTTCCCCATGAATGAGCTGATTCGCTACAAGTAAATTAAAGTACATAGATGATTAATTTGTCGATTTAAAGTCATTGGGTAATTAACAGTGTTAAATTATAAACTAATATTAAATTATAAAATATTATTAAATGTAAGGTTAATATATATTTTAAATGTACTACATTTTAGCATTATTACAAGCATGTAATTACAACTATATGTAGATATGACTTACAAGTTTCAGAAGAAATGGCATTAAAGTACACTGTAGTTTACCATAAATGATGACAGTAAACTTTAACCATATTTCAAAGACAACAGAATTATGAAATTCGGTATGCATTCAGTATGTTTCATCTATAATACATTTCCATTTAATTGCAATTGACGTGATGAAGCGTCTGAAAACATAACATTCAGTTTGCACTTAAATACATTCTGATAAAGTATATTATTTCCATAATAAGTACTCTTTTAAAAGTATGCAAAATGTTATATTTTTATTAGGTGTGATTATATGTACAAAGCATTATATCATATCAGCCACCAAAAGAAAAAAATATTAGTTGACCACTAGAGCAAATAACGTGTAATAAAATGTGTAATAAAATATCAACATTAGCAGCACATATTGGACCACCATAAATCAACACCGATGATGCTGGTACATCACTGCAGCTGTGAACCGATCACGTAACTCATATTATCTTGTATGAAAATTCATCACTGCTGTCCCTGTTATATTGCTCCACAACCAGTGGGCGTAAAACAAGCGCGCCATGCCTGGAAAAACCGCAGAAAGCATTTGACTGCATCTAGAACGAATCTGTAAAGAAACTCAATCTACAGACAGAGGGACCCCCTGCTGTTCACTGACCACCAGCTCTGTTTGCCCTGGTCTCCCTGGTTACAATGATTCACAGCACTACAGCCCAGAAAAGAAAGAAAAAACTAGACTCGAACAATGTAGCGTAACCTACTTTCACACAAGCATGCCATACAGCGCACGCATCATGTCCTGCAACAGTGCATTGTTTGATTTAAACAGCTTCGGTCGGTGTGTGTGTGTGTGTGTGTGTGTGTGTGTGTCTGTCGTGTATGGCGCATGTGTGTGTGCGCGTGTGTGTTCAC